AAATACGGAAGAAAGCACACCCGCAACGCGAGGCGGACCGAGCGACACACGAGACCGCAGCGGCCGTCAAGGCGGCTGCGAAGAAGACGGAACCAGAGGGCGACCGATCTTTCTGCACGTTCAACGCACGCTCGCCTACAGCGGTAGGAACCCCATCGGTCACAACGTGATGACGGTCATGCAGATTTTTTCCGCGACCGGCTGTGATATGATAGGACTTCAGGAGACCCGACGAGAGGGGCAAGGTTCAATTGCACACGACGGGTACGTGATCATTTGGAGTGGCGCCCGTGCTGGCACCAAGGACAAGAGGGGCGTACACGGTGTGGGCATAGCGATCAAGGAGGCCATGTGGGAGAGTGGGGGCGAGGAAGGTAGGACGGTGGAGTGCATTAGCCCGAGGCTGATGAAGGTGCGTCTACAAATTGGCCGCACCTGCGGAGTAACTTTCGTGGTGGGGTACGCCCCCACGGAAACTGTCCGCACCACCGCGGGCGGTGGTGTTGACGCCAAGGACTCTTTCTGGACTGCTCTCGACGCAGCGATCCGGGAGGCTCACAGCCGTGACCATCTCGTGNAGAACCGAGCTCTGCAGAGATGGATTGATGCGAGAAAACTCGCCGCTCAAAAAATACGGAAGAAAGCACACCCGCAACGCGAGGCGGACCGAGCGACACACGAGACCGCAGCGGCCGTCAAGGCGGCTGCGAAGAAGACGGAACCAGAGGGCGACCGATCTTTCTGCACGTTCAACGCACGCTCGCCTACAGCGGTAGGAACCCCATCGGTCACAACGTGATGACGGTCATGCAGATTTTTTCCGCGACCGGCTGTGATATAATAGGACTTCAGGAGACCCAACGAGAGCGGCAAGGTTTAATTGCAAACCACGGGTACGTGATCATCTGGAGTGGCGCCCGTGCTGGCACCCAAGGACAAGAGGGGGGTAAAGGTGTGGGCATAGCGATCAAGGAGGCCATGTGGGAGAGTGTGGGCGAGGAAGGTAGGACGGTGGAGTGCATTAGCCCGAGGCTGATGAAGGTGCGTCTACAAATTGGCCGCACCTGCGGAGTAACTTTCGTGGTGGGGTACGCCCCCACGGAAACTGTCCGCACCACCGCGGGCGGTGATGTTAACGCCAAGGACTCCTTCTGGACTGCTCTCGACGCAGCGATCCGGGAGGTTCACAGCCGTGACCATCTCGTGATGCTAATGGACGCCAACGCACGTACTGGTAGGAGGCGAGACGGGTGCTGCGATGCCAAGATTATGGGCGCGTACGGACGCGACATTATGAACAACAACGGGGAACGACTCCTTGGACTGGCGTCAGACAACCAACTCTCCCTGACCAACACCTACTCCCGGACACCGAAAGGTGGAGTGCAGCACGCATTCCAGAGCTCCAACAAGGGAAAGGAGAATTACCGCCTCGACTTCATCTTCATGCGTCAGACGGACCGGCGTTTCGTGCGTAATGTCTCCGTCACTCGTGTCAACTTCAAGGACTCTGACCACAACCTCGTGCTTACGACTGTCCGCTTCCCCCCCTGTGTCGCACCAACCCGACAAGAGCGGGGGAACAGCGGAAACAGCCGGATCCGTATCGACCTCGAGCGGTTAACGAAAGACAAACATCTACTGGTTGCTTCCAAAACAGGACCTCCAGCCGCCCTCCGCCCACGGCGCTCAGGCGGCCAACGGGAGAGACCGCCGCCGAGCTGACGGCTACGGTGATGTCGGCCGCTGCTGAGACCGCGCCGCTGGCGAGGTGCGCACGAGGGCAGAGAGGCTGGTACACGAGCGAAGCGCAGCACGAGATCTCTGACGCGTCGAAGGAGATTAAGGCGGCCCAGCAGCAACTGCGCGGGGCCTCAAAGAACAGCGCCTGCGAGGCGACCCTGAAGGCGATGCTCAAGGCGGCGCGGAAGAAGCGCAGCATCGCGAGGTGGAGAGCACTGGAAAAGTTCTTCGAGGGCTATGTACGGCAGCTCGAGAAGAAGAGCCGCGAGGGGGATCAGGCGGGTTTTCACAGGCACATGAAGATGCTCGACGTAGAAGGTAAGAGGTCGTTCACCTCTCAAAACATCAAGGACGAGGACGGCAAGGTCCTTCGGGACCCCACGTTTATTCGCCAACGGTGGGCACGGTGGTTCCACAAGCTTCTCAACACCAAGTCGCCGACCATCGACCTGCATGCGGCTGACAAGGTCAAGCGGTGGCCCACGTGCGTGCCACTCGACGACATCCCATCTCTACTTGAGGTTGAGGAAGCGGTACGGGAAATGGCCAACAGAAAGGCCGTCGGGCCGGACGACCTACCGGCTGAGCTGATCAAGCTTTTCCTGGACGGAGATCAAGGTCTCCTCCGCGAGTTCCACGCCATTGTCGTGGACGTGTGGCAGACTGGGGACGTACCACAGCAGTGGAAGGATGCCACCATCAAAGTGCTGTTCAAGAAGGGGGACACGATGGAGTGCGGCAACTACCGGGGCATCTCGCTCGTCGCACACGCCGGCAAGGTGCTGCTTAAGGTCGTCGCTACACGACTGAGCCACTACTGCGAGCGAGAGGGCATCCTCCCGGAGGAGCAGAGCGGTTTCCGCCAAAACCGGTCGATGCTCGACATGCTGTTCGCCATCCAGCGGCTCCATGAGCTCGCGAGGAAGAAGAGTACTGCGGTGTTCGCGTGCTTCGTCGACCTCACCAAGGCATACGATTCGGTAGACCGAGACCTATTGTGGGACGTGCTCCGACGCTTCGGCGTGCCCCCGAAGATGCTGGCGGTCATTCGCCACTTCCACGAGGGCATGAGGGCGCGCGTCCGAACGGACGACGGGCAGTACTCGGAATGGTTCGACGTGGGCCAAGGCCTCCGACAGGGATGCAACCTGGCCCCGCTGCTGTTCAACTTGTTCTTTGCCGCGATGCTCATGTTCGCCGTGGCCGAGTTTGACAAGGACCCCAAGATGACGGCGGACATGGTCAAGATCGGAACAGTACACGGGCAAGAAGGGCAGGTCGGCCGGGAAGAGGACGACGGTGGTGACGGACGCGGAGGCTCTGTGGGCCATGCTCTACGCTGACGACGCGGCCATCGTCTCGCGCTTGCCAGAGAGTCTCGAAAAGATTATGTCGGTCATCGTGCGCGTGGCCGGCCTGTTCGATCTGATGGTGTCGGAGCCAAAGACGGAGATCATGTGCATGCTGCCGAAAGGGATCGAGGAACGCCCGTTCACGGTCAGCGCCGCCAGCCAGACGTACAAGCAGACAGATCGGTTTGTGTACTTCGGACGTACCATCTCCGCGGACTGAAAGGCCGACCGGGAGATCACGAGCCGCAGCTGCCGAGCGTGGAAGTGCTACCGCCGGAACAGTGCTTCGATGTACGACAGGCGACGGGCCAACCGCCAGCTCAAGATCCGGCTACTTCGGGCTGAAGTGGTGAACACTCTCCTATAGGGTTCGCCTCGTGGTGCCTAACAGCGGATTACTAAACGAAGCTCAATGGAACCCACCGCCAGTTCCTTACACGGTGCATCGGCTGGAGCAAGCGGAAACGCTCAGACTGCCCTCTGTGCCCAGGCCCTCATCCAGGCAGGCTGCGAGGAAACCATCGAGGCCACCGTGCGCAAACGGAGACTGTGTTTCGCGGGCTTTCTTTTGCGCATGGAGGACAGCCGCTTTCCAAGCGCATGCTGTTCGGAGCGATGGCGGGGGGCGTGGGATACCGGGACGGGCAGGAGACTGACTGGGTGTCTCGTCTCGGAGAGGACCTCGTGGCCTTCAACATGGGAGACGAAACGGAAGGAGGCAAAGAGAAAGAGAGCGCCAAGGACGGGGAGGTGTGGAACAACAAGGTTGAGGACGGGGCGGCATGGCTCATGGGAAATGGCAAAGGCAGGGGGCGGAAGCTTCCGCGAAGCGCCAGCGCGCGAGGGAAGCAGAAGCAGAGAGTGTACGGCCATCTCACGACCGAAGAGAAAAGAGAGCCGGGGAAGCGGCGGTGGGGGGAAGAAACGGCGACCGGGTGCTGCTGCTGTAGAAGCGAGTAGGGCGGCCGAGGCAGTACTTGTGACGAACTATGCACCCGGCTGATGTTGTTGCGCCTTTTTTCCCTCCCTGCTGTATGCCATTCTCTATATGTGTGTGTTGTAATGCCTCCGGCCTCTGTGCTGTGCTTCGTTTTTCATGACCTCCCTGCCTACTCTGCTGTGTTGGGTACCTTGATCTCGCTTTGCTGTTGCTTTTTTTTTTGTACATCTGGCTGTCTGCCCATCTGCCGCCTCTCTGTCCTGTTTGCTCCGTAACTCCCATGCCCTGGTGCATAGTGCCTGGTGCTGGTACGTTACCCTTTGATTTTTCTTGAGACGAGTGTGGGAAGCGTCCTCCTTCATTTTTGTTTTTGTATTATTTTGATCGGTGTCCGAGGGCCCTTTTCGCGAACGGTCGGTGCGGTACCTGTTCTTTCCTTTCGATCATATTTTTTTCTTTTTCCGAGTGGTTTGTAACCTATTTTTGTTTTGTTGCCCCGCGGCGTTATAAATGCCGGGTTTTGAGACCACGGGCTCCCCATTTTTTGTGGACTATAGAGCTAATGTGAAAAACAACAACGAAGGTGTGCGGCGTTCGCAGTGCGCAAGGAAGAAAGCAAAAAAAAAAAACTCCTTCTACTCCTTATTTAACTGATAGTGATAGATGGAGCCTGACAGAGAGGTCACCACTGCTACTGCACACGTTCACACCTCACCCAAAGCCACCAGTCGGCCGTGGACGCAGGAGCGCCTCTGTTTAGCAGCGGGGGTAGGAGTGAACGTTTTGTGCAGTGTGGACCAAGCGCTCATGAATCATCAGCCCCTGCTGCTGCTTCTGCTGTTGCTGCTGCTGCTGCCGCTGTGTGGATATGCACCACTTTCTTCGCTCATAGCAGCGGCAACGGGCTATAACACCCCCTCCGACGCCCCCTGTATTTGTGTGTATTGGTCTCCTTGGACGGTAGCGTGTGAATATCTCGATTGTTTCTCTGTTCGGGCGCGTCTGTTGTGGACCAAAAGAAGATTGGTGTCGCGACTGACCGGCGAAAATAGCCCAAGATTGATTGACTTGCGTGGGACTTGCTTCACTCGCTCATACGCTGCTAGCAGTAGGCAACGGGTTTTTAAAAGTCGCTCTCGATGCCTCGTATGATGTATTAGTTTGGCCGCCTTGGCTTGCAGCAGTTTGCACGTCTCACTGTCCCTGTTCGAGGGATTAATTTGTGTAGCAAGCTCAAAAGATCGGCCTGCAGATAAATGCCGGCAGCATGCAGCAGCAGCAGCAGCAGCAGCAGAATTGACCTGTGTTGCCTCCCTCGCTCTTGGTGCCGCCGACAGCAGCCAACCGGCTCCCTATTATGTGTGCCGTTGGCTGCCCTTGGTCCACCGCAGTTTCGAATGCTGCTGTGCTGGTTGCCTCGTGTGTTGTCTACGTGTGTCATGTGCTGCTGCTGCTCTGCTATGTCTTTCGGGGCATTGCCGCTCGGCGGCGTGGCCATCAACCAATCATCTGTCTCTGTCCTACATAATGTCCTTCATAATCGATATGTGATTGGTGAGAGGACGCGTACAGTTTAAAGTAGCTCTTCCGGTCCAACGCAAAAATTGCCGCACGTATGATCCCGGTTCCCAAAATCGGGGTATTTTTTGACGCGGTTTGGAACCTCGACAACGACATGTTCCGTAGCGTTTTGAGAGTGAGAAGATACAGAATGTGCATTGCCCCGATCGTAGAAGGTTGGTTGTTGTAGTCAATGCATGATGATATACTCTAGTGATTGTCTATCTCCAAAGAAACGGACGGCGCAGCAGTTCATTCAGGTTTCCTTGGTTTTTCGACTTGCGTCAACCCCGGGAAGCATCCTCCGACCTCCCACAAAGGGGAACCTGTACATACATGCACGTGATGCTGTTTTACTGCAACGTGACTCAACGGTGTTTTCACTCGGTTACCTGTGATGAAAAACACACACCAAACACACACTTCAACGCCGACTTCAGCGTTGCACATGTCACGATCGTGCTCGCAATGCGCCCGCCTGCCTGCTACTTTGTTGCAGTCAACCCACCGAGCAGTACACACCCATGCCGGGTGCTGCTGCTGCTGCTGTACAGCAAATTTGGCTCAGTCATCGTAGACTCACCGTGCTTGGGCGACAGGGTCCGCCATCGCATGGGCTTCTCCAGCTCACTCGCCCAGTTGTTCTCGTCTCCGACCGCTTCCCACTTCGTCTCTTACTCCAAGGCGGTGTTCTTGCGAATGCCCGTGGCATATGGCCGTGGATGATTCGAGCATCTGAGCCTTCAACGATTCGTTCTGCTAAACTGCACTGCGCCGACGCCTGATACTTTACAATTGGGTGTCAATGTTGGGATCCACACCTTGTAGAGGCTCAGTTGTGGGGGGTCTCGGTGCGTTCGAGACGCGTGTGCAGAGGTTCTCAGCTCTTCGTGTAGCAGCACCACTGCAAGAGGTGCCAGAGTAACGGCTTAGTCTAGTCTATATCAATAAAAACATGCGTCGCAATTAAATTGTTTTCCCCGTTTTGGGAAAAGCCACGTACTAGCCCATAACCTCCCAGCAAAACGTTGAGCCAGATTCCGGCCACAACAGTTTGTTCCTAGCGTCTTGGGGGTCACCATGTTGCTACTGCGTTTGTCGGTATGCACATAAAACAATTGGACGTTTTTGTTGATCTTCGCGTTCGTTTTTCTCCGCCGGGACAGCTTTTTTTCTCGCACTTCCTTCTACAAGGCACGCAGAGGACCCGTCCGTACATTACCCCTGACGTGTGGGGCTCGCGAGACACCGGTGGTGCCCGTTAGGGCCGCCTAGAGTCGCTGGGACTGGTTCTTTTTGAGGGGCTGGGAATCCAAGCCGTATAAGCCTCCTCGACCGGGTTGAAAACTGAAAACAGGACTGTATTTTTGCCCCACGCCCCGCGCCCCGCGCCCACGCGCCCACACACCTGCTGTAATTGTCGTATACAGCCTTACAACACAGCAACTGGAGCATGCGTACCCACTGCGGGGAGCAAGACTCTTGATGTTGCTTATATTGTGGGAACACACCACGCGACAATGAAGTCCTGTCGCACAACTTCGGCGGCGGTTGTGTGAATTGTAATTAGTTCCGAAAATCGAAGAATTCAAATAAACATGTTACGGAACTGTAGCAGTCTACGGTCTGTCACTGTTCTTGAAAGCGTTGAGCAGCTCTTTGATCCGTTGTTGGTGTTTGCGTGAGACTGTTCCATAGACCATGAAAAACACGATCACACAAGAAGGGCAAGTTATCAAACGCAACGGATTACAACGGTAGGGCCTGCAGCAAAGACTCCGCAATTTAGCCCAAATGCACACACTCGAGCACAGCGAAAAATCACGGCAGGAGAAAACAACATATCCCGAACATGATGCAGTATCCAGGCAAATTTGTATGGAGGTTGCACGCAAACCGGCACTAACTACCGAACGTCATCGACCAATCATGCAACCGCAATGACATTAATTGGCCATGTCCTCTTGCATCGCGCCCGGGCGGCCAATAACCTTAGTGCCGCAGGACAACCTTGTGTTATGTTCAACATTCGTCTGGCAGGTAGGTGTGGCTACATGAATTTTGGTCCATTTCCTGTAACCAGCCTGCTTGTCTTGTGCGTGACGGTAGCGGGTGGCATCCTAGAATCCCTCTCTCATGAAGCGGTCACCACCGCCCTCACAAGGGGCAAGATTCAAGGAGATTTCGTGAGAGGCATACTCCAAAAGACTAACCTTAGCAATGGCTTGCAGGACCATCATTTGGGCAAAACTCTTCGGGACAAGACACGGATCATTGGCACACGGAATCATTGCTCACGCCGAAAGTGAATAAGTGTGGAAAGAAACATATCAACACCAACGATAACCAGGCGCACCGTCCTGAACTCCGAGTTGGTGGTCGAGGGGCTGAACGTCCACTCTTCGTCAGGGAGGGTCGTACGTCGTTCGTACAAGCGCGCTGTCGAAGAGCAAACCGCCGTGTCGTTAATGCCACCACCACAGCATGCATACCATGCCGGAAATATTGCTGTCCGTGGATAGTCAGCACCTGTCCAAGTTAAGCATATGACACGACCGATTTTTCGCGATTTCAAACGGAGGTTTCCAAACACTTTTTGTTCGCCCGCGCGAGCGTCGGAGGTCCCACTCGCGGTTGGAAATCCCTACAAAATGTCCCCTCGAAGATTGGACAGTGGACCGCCAAAGCGGAGAGGCCACCTTCCATGTAGTAATACTGTCCGGGAATCATCCAATGAGCAAGAGTACATCAGTAGTTTGGCGAAACACTCCCAACAGCACCAACTTTTACGTTTGCCATGAGGAGATTTGGAACATGCCATACTGTGAAATATGTTTTGTGTTGCAGTATTAATAGTAAGTACAATAACGACTTTTTTCTACGGAATGAGTTTATGCAATATTGTGAAGGCCTTGGTAGGTCTATAACCAGTAGGTGAAGATTGCTTGGGAGTGAGTGTGGATGATAATATCTCTCTGTGTGTTGCCTACCTAACCTCTCGTCACTTGCCGGCTACTATGTAGACACAGCTGAGAGGAATAGCTGTAAAACGACTGCAGTGACAGTGCAGTTGCCTCCACAGGTTGGGAGCCTCGTTTGCTCGAGTTTGCACACCAGAGTCAAGAGTCGGCAAGCATGACTACCGGCTCGTCAGGCGAGATCCGAAGAGGATTCGCCAGGGGGGGCCCAGGCGAGTACGCCGACTGGCGAACCCTGCAGACCTCCTATTTAAGGAGCACAAACTGTATAAGGTTCTGTTGGGAGTGGTGAAAGCCCTTGTAGATCCCGGACCAAGCGCTAAACCGACCAGACTTCGGCATTCCGCACTGCCCTGGAAGAAAACCAGGCTAATAACGGACAGATCCTTACCCGGCTGCTCGCCACATCTGAAGCCGGGGGCTACTAGATCGCGGCCTCGCAGACAGTGCAGGTATACGCGCCTATTGTGTCTTCGTACAGCGGAGACGGTCGTGGAGCCTTCCTCGCCCTGGAACGAAAGAACCAGGCCGCTGGGGTAAATCGTACGCAGAAGCTGCACGAGCAGTTCATATCTATGGCAGTTGCTGCGGACCACGACTTAATCCGGCCAACGCTATTCAAGACATGCGCCGCATCTGCACGGAGCTCGCCGTGGATAGCGACACGGTGGCCGGCCACAGGAGAAGCCTAGCCTTCCTCAAGGCCTTGCCAGACGTTCACTACAAAGACAGGGCTATTGTGGGACGAGGCTGCTGGGAGCGTCTTGTCCTTCGAGGAGGTCGCCGACCGAGCCACTACGTTACACGCGGTGCATATTTGCAAGGGCGGGTTCTGTAGGGTACTCACAGACCTATACCGGGGGTAATTACCCTCTGTTATTANGTTCTGTATCATCCCCGTACCCTACAGAATAGTTCTGTGTAGTTTGTATCATCCCCGTACCCCACAGGATAGTTCTGTGTAGTTTGTATCATTCCCCGTACCCTACAGAAAGTTCTGTGACGTCCATTCACAATACCCTATCTGCACAGAAAGTTCTGTATCATCCCC